GATAACTTGGCTTTATTAAAGCTAATGGCATTAGATGGGCTATGTAAAGCTAGAAAGAAGAAAAGAACAAGATCAGGCAATAATGATTTGTCTGAATATTCAGAAGCTACTGAAATAATAGAACTGAATGAGTAGGGCCCATCTAATCAGGGTATAGCCTGATTATTTAGATGATACAAAATTATCTAGATGTAACCAATTGGCGAGTACAGTTGATTATTAAATGATGGTAATAGTCAAAATTATTAGGTACAGAAAAAGTTTGAGAAATGACAGAAACTAATAGACAGTGACCAGAAGTAAAAAATAAAAAGAAGTGGTGAAACACCAAATGATGGAAACAGACAGCCAGACAGTAACAACGAGTCCAGAAATAAGTTATGTGGGAGGACAGAAACTTTTTATTAACAAACGATAGATTGACAGTGTTTGTGATTTGAAGTGTTTGAATGAAGTGTGCGAGAAAGTGCGCAGGTTATGTGATGTGCGAATAAGTACATGTGTGTGTGTGTGTGTGTGTGTGTGTGTGTGTGTGATCGAGATGAGAAGGGATCAAATGGTGTGACTAAATGGTCTTAGCAAGAACAATTAGTAATAATGCTTTATAATTATAGGAAACAGGGACGAAGAGCGGCAATAGCAGAAATAGAAGGTTTCCGGGTGAACGGGAACTACTGGATCAAAGAACTAGCTGTTAAAGACTGCTGTTCGGGGTGGACAGACGTGTATTGCTTCCGACTGCCATTTCCGGAGGACCACTTAAGCACATCAATTGGTGCACGACATACTTACATGGCATTCGATGGAGGGACGGAGATCACTCGTTACTGGATCTCCTACGCATTAAGCAGAAACTCCGTGAGAATTATGTGAGGATCTATACCAAGGGAAGAGAGAAGGCAAGAATATTACAACATCAACTGAGGATCAAGTGCATCGACCTCGAGGAGTATGGTTGTCCAGCGAATAGACATTTAGATTGTCCAGAAAGGCTATTTTGTGATTACCATCGGTATATACAAATGAAATATGTGCCTACTGGAAGGTGTGTGCCCTGTACCAGTGGATGACTTCCTGTGACTGGAACGTCTTCCAGAACTTTATCAGAGACTTTTAAGTAAAACTTATAATTGTTGCAATTGTTTAGATCATTATTTTGTGTAATACTCCGAAGAATTATTGAAATGATATTTGAATTCTGACCTTGTATTATGATAATATGTATTGCGTAACCATATACAGCCATATCGATGTGTTAACAGAAGTAGTAACTGAATGTTTGTTATTTTGAGTATTCTTCTAAAGAATTATCAGGATGATATTTTTCTAAACTTGCATTTGTATTATGATAATCTAATATGTATTGTATAACCATATATAATCATATAGATGTGTTAACGGAAGTAGTATTTGAATATATTTAACTTTGATGTAAGTGTTCACTGAGTGACAGAGAAAAAGGTGAAGACAATGGATAGATGGTAAAATTTATTATGAATAAGATGGTAAATTTTGTTATGAATAACAAAATTTTTCTAAGGAAGGAGAAGTGAAGCAATTGGGTTATTTTTGAGGGAATTTACAATTGCTTCAACGTTTTTAAGAGTTTTTATTAACTTAGAAAGTTTAAGAATAAAGTTAAATTAGTAGTTGTATTTTTGTAAGCCATTAAGACACGTGGATGAACTAGAAAAACAAGGTTAAGCAACGTAAGAAGCGTTGCCTAGAAACAAGCTGAGTGTACTAGAGCTTATGACAGGTTGACCTCAACCCTGTAGAACTAGGAAAGCTACAGAAAAGTTTGGTTTAGCAGGCGATATCGGCGCTTTGAGGCGATATCACTTACAGCACATGGATGTAGCAGTACAAGTAAATAGGTGACCGGCTAACACAACTGAGCTGTAACCAATTACTTGACAGTTTTGATTATGGTTTTGGTTCAGCCCGGAGATTCCCCTGAAGCATCCAATAGCAGCATAGGACTACTTGTGGGTGATGCTGTGTCCTATTTAGATGCTCAAAATAATACAGAGAAAATTGCTTTATAAACCCATGTCAGAGACTGAAAAGTCAGATCTCTCAGAGTTCTCTGTGCCCTCCAGAAAATCCCTCTGAAGTGCTGCAGGTTGACTTGGCAACATGAAGGTGTCCAATGTTATTCAATTTCCAATACCATTGTAAGTATACTTCACTATTCTCTCTCAGTCAGTTAATACTAGTGTTTTGTGAAATGTTATGTTAAAGGATATGTTGAAATATATCTAAGTGCTTTAATGGAAGTGTATACTGAAATACTATGCTGAAGTATATCTAAGTGTATGCTGAAGAGAGTACAGTATTTAGTTGAGTTAAAAGCTATTTTATGTTGTTCGTTATAAACGAGGTTTTATCTGTTATCAATAGTTAGTTAAATGAATTAATGTTTAATAAAAGTTATTATAAGTGTTCACCATTGGCCTGAGACTCTCGTTCTTTAGTCTAACTGAAAACTTCCTCTAGTTAGCGACTTGTGGCTCCACTCGACACGACAAATCCTCCAATAAATAAATCTGGTGTAATGAGTAGTTTTAATTGAAACTCCAACAATTAAGCACACAAGGGGACTACTCATTACAAGTATGAGATGTACTAAGCATGAAAAAAAGATTAAATACACAGGACAATCACAGTCAAAATAAAATGCTAAACTCCTAATACATACTTGCTGGCAAGTTTTCCCTGAATAGGAAACAAGTTAAAGTGAAATAGCTGTAAAGACAAAAACAAAGTGTTTATTAATATATATATATATATATATATGGAGGTCAGCTGATTAAAACACGGCCCAACAGGCAAGTGTTAAAGAAAAATAAGAACCACGTGGTAATCAAAACAACAGCAGCAAGACTCATGGTTAAGGAAGACATAAAGTAGATATGTGATGTTGAATAAAATAATCAGGAGGATAACTAACAATAATGCACAAAAATCATGTTTCAAGAACCAAACTTGATGTAAAAAATTTGAGAAGGAGGAATAAAAGAGAAATATAAATAGTATTGAAATATATACAAGATTGCAACATCAGCAGAAGGTAAAAGAAATAAAAGAATGAATTATGGAAATCATCTCAAATGACACAAGAACTTTCAAGTGTAATTGAAATAGGTTTAATATTGAAAATATATAACAAACCTGTAAGAAAAAGAAATGAGACCAACAGACGTGTCATCTAAATTAGGGGTAGCACTGGAGCAGATAAATCCAGCTCTGCAGATTCTGAAGGCAATTAATCCTAAGTAGAAAATCGACCTTCATCAAAAACAAAGGAAATAAAGATTGTTATGCAAATGAGGTACCCACATGAACATTGGGCTACCTGGAATATCAGTATACAATAACACAAACACAAATGCAGTTACTATTTGCTGTGTTCACCTGCTAAGTATGACTTCAACTATGCCATAGAAATTCTAGTACTGGTAGAAATAGTTGCATCAGAAAAAAATGTTATTGTTAAGAGAATAGCATAATAGAGCTTATGTAAAATCTCCAGATGCTTGAGCAATAAATTACAAGAAAGGTGGGAGAGTGGAGATTTATGGGTAACTGATACATGTTCTGCAATGCGTAAAGGACACTTAGAAATTTTTTAGTCGTGTTTGGTTGATGACAAGAGTTCAAACTCAATATGTTTTCAGTTTTATGAGTAAGTCTATTTGATTTTACAATAATATTCAATAATTTAGGAGTTCAATGACCAGAATATTTTGTGATTGCCTAGCATACTTATTAAATCTAACTAAGCTTATGCAATGTTCTATCAAAGAAAAAATTTTTTCTCTGCTATTAAACAGATACAACTAAATACGAAAATATACAGATTTGAGTCAATGGAATACTCTGCAGTCACCTAATGTACTTGTGAAACCTAAATAAGCATACTTGATGTATTGTCATAAAAAATATTATCCATAACTTTAAAACAGATATAATTCAACAAATAAAGTTTTCAAGAATGAAGTGAAATATCTGAAGAAACTTTAAAAAATTTCATATCATTGGGTTGTTACTAAGTCATCCAAACTTCCCATTAGATTCCTTTCTTCAATCATACAGGATCTCTAGTTAGACAATATTCTAAAATTACATATACAGTTATAATGTACTCTAGTCAATCATATTTAATTGTTAGCTATAGCTATCTTCACAGCTTAGCTTTATTAGTAATTGTTCAGACAAAATGCTTGACATTATAAATGAAAGGTACTTAAGAGCTGTAGTAACAAAAACAGAGGAGGAAAATGATTAAAGAAACCAGACATAAATTATTATATTCTTGAGGGATGAAAGTTTCCTAGCAAGTATAAGCCTATACTTTGAGACTGGCAGAAAAATTCTAAAAAAAAAATGTATAAACACTGCTTCAGATGAAACTCCTTGGAGCTGTGCAAAAATGACAGTTAGGAAATATTTTCATCTTTTTTGGTAAGTTACACTCAATAAGTTACAAAATGACAAAATATCAATTCTAAAATATTTTTGAGTTAAAAATTGTTTATTTTAAAATTCGATATGTAGGCATGTACTCAACATTTGAGAGGTACTCACTCATTTAGATTTGAAAACATTTTTTGGTTTTTAACCATATACAATATGTAGTTAATAAAAATGGACAAACCTGAAGTAGTCACCTGGTTGTTTCACTTTTGATACAAGGGTTGAAGTACGTTGTTGAAAAATGTTAATAAGAATACCACTGTAAATATCACACCTTACAACATACCGATTCGTTAACGCTTGTACTGACTTTTCTAGTTTAGAACAGTTTTTAACACCCAATTTATTGATTTTAGACATACACACACACACGAATACATATTTGAGATGATTAATGATAAATCATTTACAGAATCACATAAAATGTATATAAAAATTACTTTATAAAACTATGAAATTATGAATAACAAACTATCAAATTATGAATAACAAACTATCAAATTTGAACAATAAATACTTACTAGATTGTAGATTAGGCACAAGCTTAAATACAATGTCCTGCATTGTTCTGTCGTAGCTAGAGAATAAATAATTTCAACAATATATTAATAAACTAGCACATTAAAACACAGGATATTTCCTCTTAAATATCAAGAACAAGTAATTCATTTAAACAATATAATATTTGTATAGGTTTGTGCAGAAATAACTAATATTTTTATGAATAAAATTTTTATTGCTGTAAGTGATATTTGAAATCAATGATGTTGAACAATTAAGAGTTTCAGTGACACAAAATAAAAATTTCCCAGTGAGAATTACACATGGTATATTCAAAAGTTCAAAGTTTGGGTAGAAACTTGTGCCTGAGGCAAAATTAATTGACAGTTTATTCAGGGGTAAGTCCTTCAAAAAGATGGACAAGTTACTTGTTCTTTCAGCAGGTGAAAATTTTGGTTAAAGGTAAACACTGTACAGTGCCCTAAATATCTGGCTCTAGAGATAAATAGTACTTTCCACTTAATGTTATCCCTGAAGTCACATTTCCCTCTGATTCAAGACATTAAGTACACACCTTAGGTTGGTGTCAGTGCTGTAAAGAAGCAAGTCTGAGACAAAAAGAAAGAGAGAGAAAACTTATAATTCTTTGAAAGGAAGATTAATGGGCAGCTGTAAAGATACCTGAACCTGTCAATGCAAGTTCTCCTCGTAATCCCATCTTATTGTTCACAAGATTTTAAGGCTTCACAAACACAGGCTATAAATATCTTGAAAATTAATAAATGAATTTACAAATAGAGTATGAAGCATAGATACTGCCTTAATCAATCACATCTACAATTTTTCTTCTTTTTTTTACACATTTAAGCTCCGACTTAAGACTCAATTACATAAGTTTACAGAAGGCCAGCCATTTCAAACAGAAACCTATCTTAACATTGCCTTTTAAATCCACACACATTACACAACACTAATGAATCTAAACATTTTACACAAGCCACATCAACAATTGGACTATTATACAACAATTTTACCAAAAGAATGATTATGCTTGAAAGCAAGTTTTTCTTTCTGATATTAATTTACTATTTTTAAAGCTGTAAGTATATTACTTGCCATATTATCTTCAATACTTATAAATTCCATCATATTTGTGTTATTTGAAAACAGTATAATATAAATATTCATGGGCATTTAAATTTCATTTAAAGATGGGATACTTGAGATCAATTTTTTATAAAGTGGTTACGATACCAAAATTAAATTATCTCCCATTGTGAATCAAATGAATTATTTAGTATTTACTTCTTTTTATGTACATCACATGCCATAGTATGGAAGTGAACTCTGAAATAATGTGTACAACAGTTCCATTACAAAAGATTACACTGATGTAGAAATAAGTGATGATAAATATAGGTATATATGAAATATTTTCCAGTTTTATCTTTTTGAGACAAATCATTTAAAAATCTTGCGTCAGAGAGCTAAGAAATATTGTAACAACATGTTCTATACAATTAAACTGAGATACGTAATGTTTTTAAAAGAAACAATAATCAATATTTTCACACCGTATTCTGAATGTATGAAACATTTGAAAACTTAAGGATATAAGCATACTTTATTGTCTAAGCTGTAAATAAGCTTGACAGCTTAGATAATTTGTCTACCATAAATTACATTCTGTGGTTGGAAAGAAGCTAGTTGGTATAAAAACATAATACTGTACAGTAGCATTACAACTTGCACTCTTCATGACTGTGTAAAAACCTAACAAACAAATTTGTGGTGGTTAATAGTAAATTACAAGTTCAATATTTCCAAATTTTTGAAAATATATGTAAATGCCTTATGATTGCATATGTACTATACTTTAAATGAGGAATGTGATTAACTATTATTATGCTTAAAGATGTGTCAAACTATAAATAGCTCAGACTTCAAATATATCAAACAGCAGATTGCAAGTAATTAGACTCCATAGTGATCAGCTATCAGTTTTGACTGGCAATTAATTTAGTAGTGATTACCATCTCAATATACAGATGTTAAAATTGATGATTAAACTTCAATGGAAATTACAGCATGAAAAAAGCATTTCTCAAATGTAGTTAACATTATTATTATATTTTTAACTCTCTTGTACTCATTGTAGTTTCCATACTGTAACGTTTAATACACTTTGTGTATCTTCACAAAACTTGTGTAACTTAGAGGAAGGATAGTTGGTCAAGCAGATGGTGGAATAAGTCAGCAGCAAATTTTGCAGAATTTGGGAATCCCGCTTTCGACAGTCAACAGAATCATCGTGCAGTTCAGGAAACAACTGAGCAGCGTCCAGGTCATTCTGGTCCATTAGAGAGGACAAAAAAGGGCTGTCAAGAGGAGCATCGAAATGGATCCCGGATTAACGACTGCAGAAGTGGCCAAAGCTGGAGGGATGAGCCAGAAATCTGTTCAACAGATTCTCCACAGTTTGGATTATCATTGCAGAGCAGCTAGATGGAAGCCCTTATTAAGACCTGTATGCAAGTGATATGATGACCAAGCCTCTGGACTTTTGGAAGATCGTACTGTTCTCAGACGAATCAAGATTCGCTCAATTTTCGGACAGTGGAAGGATATGGGTCTGGAGAATGCCTCAGTAAGAGTTTTGGCTCAACAGATTGCAGACAACTGTGAAGCATGGTGGTTTCAGAGTGATGGTTTGGGGAGCTGTTTGGATTGGTGGGAGATCGAGCTTAGTGGAGTGCGTTTGCAACA